AATTTTAATACTCTTGATTTGTTCTGAAGATAAGCTTTATAGTTCTATTTTGAAGATGTCTCAATCTACAAAGTAGATATCTTACCCAAGATAATTACACTATTCTAAAGATTATTTTATATTTTACGATTATTACGTTTAATGATAACAAATTTCATCTATACTTATAATAAGAGTAAAAGACTATATAAGAATAAAATGAATTTCTAAATTTAACCTTGGACATACCCGGTTATATTTTTATCCTTTGTCCTTTTTATTGTCTTATTTGCTTTCATATATACCTTTTTAATTTCGTTTTAGTTTCATTTTTTCTTAAATAAAATTATTTGCATTATAACTATTTTTATTCTATTTTCTTCTTCTATTGTTGCCTCTTATTTTGGATTATGACACTTTTCCTCTACCTTTGTTTATATCTTCCTAGCCTTTGATTTAAGTGTGTTTGTGAACGTCTAGTTTTAATTATAGAATAAAATTAATATAGTCCTTTATTTGTTGCTTTTCTTATTAAGTTTTTTATAATTTGTAGAGAAATGATTTTTCTTTTGTTATAAAAAATATTTAACCTATAATAACGGGCCAAAAATTTAAATGAAAGAAAAATTAAAATGAGAGAAAAAGATAAAAGAGTAGGATTAAATAGTAAAGTTGCATTGTATTTTAAGAGTTTAGGAGCGATAACTTTTTATACAAAATATTCCATTGTGAATCGAATTAAAAAAGTTGCATCGGACTTGAATTTATAAAAATTGTATAAAAATTATAAAAATTTTACTTTTTGGTCGTATTTTTAATTTACTGGAAAAAATTATACATGGGCTATAGGAACTGTTTTAATTAATTTTACTATGTAAAGCTTTCTTTTATAGCTATAGGTGATCTATCATTTGGAGTACCCACATTACGACCGTAACCATGAAATTTTTTTTTTGAATGTCATTTCTTTTATTTTTTTTTTAAATTTTACTAATGCGTCTTTTCTGTCGCTTTTACTATAAACTTGATGCAAAATTACCTATTATGAAAAAAATTTTGTTATTTATGCTTGAAAACATAATTTTTCTTCTTATTCTACTAGGAATTTTTACGAAATAAAAAGAAAAATTAAAAGGTGTTTCAATTTAGTCTTTTTATATCTTGTACCTACATGAAAGGTATATTAACTCTGGTATGGAGTGTGTGACCACTCCAAGGAGTCGTCTGCCATATGATCAATCCATATATACTCTTGCTCAGTTTACAATTCTGCGTTATTTTCAGCATCTCTGTCTGTCCGTTCGCACGATAACACAAAAACGATTAACGCGATAGAAATCAAACTTCCACAAGTTGTTTGTTTTTTGCCAAGGACGGCTCCTATTGTAACTAGATCAATTCGGATAACGGATTTGGGAAGCTATTATACAACTTCAAAATGATATTTTAAATATTTCAAAAACTAATAGAGATACTAATACCAAATTTTGCAATGGTTGTTTTCAATTACATTCTACGTATATTCTAAAAATTTGTAATGAAATGGCTGCACTGATTTAGGTAGCTGCTTAAATATTTGGAAAAATATTAAAATTAGATTCACAAAACTTGGCAGATTGTCAAGGTACAGGTTGTTGAAATAAACGACTGAAATATTTTTATTTGTTCTAAATAAAATTCTCTATTAACATTTGTTCCGTCATTATTTGATGGCATGAATTTTATAATAAAAAAAACTAAGAGAATTATTTAAAAGTCTGCTAAGAGGAAAATATTTTAAAAAACTTACAAATTACCTTCCTCTTTTTTGTTTTATTCACTCTTATATACAAATCCATTTAAATTAAAATCTAATTTTGCAATTTATTAGTGTCATGTATAAAATTTTCCAAAATGAAAATTTTCTTTAAAAACTTTAAATAAAAAACAAAAAAATACAAAAAAAGTTAAAAAATTTATAATATAATTAAAGGTATTAATTACCTTCATCAGAAAAACAAGAAGTTTTTGTTTTTTTTTTTTAAATTTTAATTAAAATTAAAATAATAAATTTTAAAAAGGAAAAAGAAATCAAGAAAAACAAGGACAACGAAAACAAAAAAAATTCAAGTTTAATTAATTAATTTTCTTGTCTTTATAGATTATTATGAAGGCGTCAGTTTCTTATTGTAAATTTTTTGCCTTGTCGAGGTTTCTTCAAAAATTTTCTAATTTTTCTAAATATTCGTGATTATTTTTTTTAAATACCACAATATAATAAATTAAATTCCTATATACCTACTTATTTATATATATAGAGAATATAATATTTCTCTTTATATAGAAAATATCTCATTGGTGTAGTTATTTAAGGATATAGACTCACAATACTGGCAAATATTATTCTACGAATTTCTTAAGTTATAGAAAAGAAAAAGAATGTACATTCAATAATTAACATTAAAACGTGGTGAATCTCAATATTTTTTTGCGATGGTGGATTTTTTCTCTTTATATATATATATACTTACTATGTTCTATAATTATTCTATTATAATATTGTTATTCAATCAAGATAGAAGATTATTAGTGATTTAATTGGATTATCTTAGAAAGAAATAGGAAAGCGGAATTCCTGGAAATGCTTAAAATGAATGAATGAAATTAATTCCAAAAAGATTTGCTAAAACATAAGTACATATATATAACCATGAGAATGAATTCTTTTTATAAAATCTGTTATACTATAAAATATTTACGTATAATATTATGTAAATTCAAAAATTTAGGAAAAAAATTATTTCTAATAATTAAATTTGAATTTAAAATCTAATCAGAATTTATAAGAGTGAAGAGAAAATTTAAAAATATTTAATTGAATTATTTTATTATTAAATGTAGAAAATTTATTATTTGATTGTGTTGATACGAAATGAGCAGTTCAGTAAGTTTTTAATAAAATCAAAACGAGTATCTAATTTACTCTTATGATGATGCGAAAGATGTGTGAAAATTTAATTGAGAACTAAGTATTTTAATTACACGATAATTATTTTATATTGATTTAAATAATGCTCCTCATTTTATTTAATAATGTTCTTATATGCCGCAATTATATTTAGTCATACTCGTACCACACTAACTTGCGTATATGTGTGGTATATACATTATTAATCGAAATTATTTCAAATATTTTCTTGAAATTAAGAAATTTTTCTCTTAAATTCGATTAGAAAATTATTTCCCAACTCAACAGTTTATATTGTATAAAACAAAGCATTAGTTTCTCCATTTTATTTTCATAAATAATTACAGTTAATTAAAAAATCACTGCTCTATAATAATACAATGCTTTAACACAGATATAATCTAGAAGAAATTTGAGTAATTATTTGTCAAACTCAATACTCTGTTTAAAAATTTTCTCAAAAGAAATAATTAAAAATTCAACAACATTGTAATTGAGAAAATTTTGTATATTATATTCTCTCATTAAATGAGTGAAAAATTAAATACAGAGCCGCCAATGAATTCAAAATTAATTGTACATTAATTTAGTACTCTTAAAAACTATAAGAGTATACCCTGGTATATATTATTAAAAGTAATTTTTTAAAATTTTAAACTTACCTTGTTCTTTGTGCTATAACATTCTATTTGGAAAAAAAATCTTCTGTAACATGATTTCTATACCAACTCTTTCCTTATTTGAAAATAATTTTATGGATGAATAGCGTCGAATATAGCATCTTTTTAATAGTGATTGACACAATTTTATTATTTACATTTTTTTTTTCTTAACTCCTACACTCTATATTTGCAATCAATTTGTTAAAATTGCCGAGAATATCAATTAAATACTATTGAATTTTAAGAAAGAAATAAAAAAACGCAAATAAAAGTGAAGAGGAACACTATAGGACAAGAGTACAGGACCATTAAAAGTCAAAAAAGATAAAGAATTGTAAATAGGAAACAAAAGTTTTTTTAAATCATTGCCAAAGATTTTATTTTCTATATTTCTTACCTTTTCATGATTTTGATACAAAAATATCCAAAATTAAAAAGGAAGTTCAAATTAAATTTCATATTTCTCTCTTTCATTTTAATTTAAAAAAAAATTCACTGTTAACTCTAGGTATTTTTTTTATATTTGTTTTTTTCTCCTTCTATTGCTTTAAGCAATTGGAAAAAAAATTCATTTTGTTACTCTTTTTTTAAAAAAAAGAAAAAAATCTTTGCATAGCACAAAAAAAAATATTTTCATTTTACCTTTTGGGTAGAAATGCACTTTAAACTGCATAAAATATTTAAAAAATTCACAACGGTATTTACTATATATTGGTGAACGTAAAGAATAATAAAAAGAAATCAGAGGGACAGAGAAGAACCAACAAAAAAAAAAAACAAATATTTTGTAGGAGTTGAATGGGAAAAAGGGTAAAAAACAACAAATTGAAAAAAAACAGTATCAAATTTTTTTTCTGACTTTTTACTTTATTCTCTCTCTCTGTCTTTGTTTTACACATCAAAATAACAAGATGATTTGACAATTTAACAACACAGAAAAAAAAAATTATAAAGAGGAAATTTTTTCAGGACAAAAAAAAGAGGGGAAAAAAAACAGAAGTTTAATATGCTACTTTTTTGTGCAGTTGACTTAAATTATGTCATTCAAAAGAGAAGAGAAAATATTAAGAAAAGAATTTTTTTTCACCCTACTCTTTATAGAATATTATGACAGTACCTACATACATATATAATTCTATACTGTTGAAACACAAAGCTATATTAAAAGTGATACTATTATAATTATTATTAGAAAAGTTACGGACAAGAATATTTCATTTTATGATTTTGAGAATGAGCATAAATACAGAATTAATTAAAGCTCATAACTCTTTAAACAGTATATACTCAACACAAAATGCTCTACAACCTATATAACAGTAGAAAATATTGTAAAATTTTGGAATAAAAAATTTTTACTAAAAAATAATTCTCATTCTTTGGAATTTTTTTTTTTTTCATAAATTTTACAGGTATTACAATGTTCACGTGGTGTTTGTATGGGAAGTGTTATGAATTTCAGTACTATGAATAATGATATTAGAAAACCAGATATTGTATTAGATCATGCTAAAGATTTTTTAGATCAATATTTCACCTCAATTCGAAGGTAATAATTAATATTAAATTATAGTGAAAATAGAATTTTTAAATTTTGAATTTTAGAAAATCATTAAAATTTTGTATTATTAAATTTTTTTAACAGACATGGTTCACCAGCACATGAAACTAGATGGCAACAAGTTCAAAAAGAAATTGAAGAGAATGGAAGTTATCAATTAACTGAAACTGAATTAATATATGGTGCAAAATTGGCATGGCGAAATTCATCACGTTGTATAGGACGTATTCAATGGTCAAAATTACAGGTTAGTACTGAAGAAAATTGTACTGTACATGCAAGGTTTTAGAAAAATTTTAAAAAAATTTTCTTAAAAATAATTTGAATGGAATATTTATATTTTATATTATATTAAGTATACTCGTATATCAACCATATAATTTTATTATAAAAACTATTCCATTGAAAAATTCAAAAAAAAAAAAAAATTCACCTCAAATATTCAGGAAATTAAATTTAATTTTTAATTATATAATGCTTTGGTAACTTTAATTTAATTTCATTCTAATAAAATTTAGTAATACAATGAATTATGTATAACACTTTGAGGTGTTTTAAATTATTATAAAAGTTATATGATAATGAATTTGTTATTTATTGTTAAAACATTATATTTATTCTTTGAATAGGAAATGTGGTTGATTACATTGTTGAAATACGAGCACTACAACGTGCGTATATTAAATATGTTAAGAATTGAGGGGGAATATTGTGAAAGGGTAAAACAATGAATTTGTAAAATTTCATTTTAATTTGTGCTCTTCCTATACAATTAATTTGAGTGAGAAATGTTCGGAGTTTACTTCGAATTATTAATTTTTTTGTCATTTCAATTAAAATTTAAAGAAAATTTTAATGTTTTCAAAAAAGGTTCCCGGCCCTATAGGAACTATAGGTTATATCGAGTAAATTCGGCTATTGAGATTTCTCTACTCCCTTTCTATACAATATGTTTAATGTTTTACCAATATTTGAGCATTTACAAACACTATCATAAAGCACATATTATAATTTTTCGAAAAATTTTAATATTTTTAGCTTGTTTTCTTAAAATAATTATTATTTACAAGCAGCATTCTTACAATATTAATTAACATGTGCCATATATACGATAGATATCGTAGGCGGTAGACCTGATTACGGTCAATCAAAAGGTTTGAAGTGTATTGCAAAGTAGCAATATTTTAAGCTTTTTATTATTATAAATCTAAAAGTGATTTTTCTTATTATAAGCTAAAGATATAAATTTTCTTAAGAGATAATTCTTAAAATTTCGTATCCCTTTCAAATCCTTCCCAAATTGAACAAAATAATTATTTTTCCTTCCCTACTGAAAATTTATTATTATAATAGTTAAGTATAATCTCTTGAGTTGATTTATATTAACAAAAAAAAAAATTAAAAACCTGCAAATTTTAATTAAAAACTCAATAGAGAAAATAAATTTTAAGAAATATATGTTGTTACTCTTACTGAGAATAATAAAATTATTCTTGAAAGACACCATTATGTCATCCATAACAAAATTAATTCTAAATTGTTGAATTATTTCGACACATAGAACACAAGAATTTCTCTTCTAAAATATAAAAAAAATCTCATATTATACTTTCTTTTCATACAATATAGAAGAGTTCTTATTAAATGAGAGAGAGTTAGAAAAACTGTGAATGGAGGAGGGGGAGTTGGCAGCGAGAGTATAAAATTATATTAGTAATGCTCTATATCGTAATATTTTGTTCAAGTTTATTTGAATTTTTATACACTTTTAATAACAATAAATTCAATTTTTCTTTTCTTTTATTTTAATTTCGTATTATTTTGCATTAAAATAATTTTTTATTGTTACGTATATTTTATTAATTTTTTTTACTTTTTGCTAAAATTTAATATTGTGATTCTTAAAGCCATTGTTTTCTATATTGTTATATAATAAAAGAACTGTGCCCATATTATAAAATTTCGGACTTAAAGTGAAAAAAATTTCTTCATTTCATTTTAAATTCCGTTTTAATATGAAAAGTTATGCATGAAAAATTTCAATGGATCTATTTAAGAAAGATAAAAATTTTTATTAATTTTAAAGGACTTTTTGTTTTTATTTATTAAATATACACAAGAGATTTTTTAATGTTCATATTAAAAAAAATTGCTTATTCTTAAGATTTATTTTAAATATGACAAATTGCAGCGCTTGTAATATTGAAATTATGACAAAAAGATTTCATTGGAGGAAGCTTCTCATTTAGAAAAATTTTCTAAGGTAGTCTTCTATTTTAACCCCTGAATTCTTTAAATTGTTTTGCATAATTTTGTATTATAATTAAAACGAACCCAAACAGACATCAACTTAGCTGACCTCTAGTTTTTGTTATGTTTTAATTTAACTAAAAGTAAAATTTGAATTTTTTTAATTTAATTCAGCACAAACTCAAACTGTTATATTCGGATTTATTCAGAATGTTATTGTATTGTGCACCATATTTAAATTAAGGACTAATTTGTCACCATTACTAAAACTGCTTACGTAATTTTTTGTTATTATCTCATGAATTCAGGAATTATTTTGAAAATTGGAAAGAAAAATGTTATTAAAATATTTTGGGTAGATGGCATATTAAGAATAAATACTATTGTATTTTTAATAGTAAACTGAATTGAGTATTGCGGTTAGGTTTATAAATTATAATATTTTTGTTTTATTTTAAAAAATAAATTTTGTGAAAAATTTTAAAAGTTATTAAAGATTTTCCATAAATAAAAGAATTTTTTTTCAATAAAAGCATTAAAAATTTTATTTTAAAATAGAAAATGTAGAAATTTTTTTTATTTTTCTTGATTTTTCTCTCATGAGACCAATTATTTGTCTAGTTAAAAAATTGCTTTGAAATTTAAGTTTCTTTTTAGTTTTTTTTGTGAATTTTTTTTAAATATATCATAGATTGCAACATTTTAAAATTTTCCTAAAACGTTTACAAAAAAAAACAAAATTTTTGTACAAAATGTTCGATAAAGTTGGATCAAACCAATGGTTTGCAAAGCGCAATACTTTTCAATTGAATAGATGAATAAATCTTTCGCCTTTTACACCATTTTAATTATTTTGTTCATATATTAAAATATTTAAAATTATTGCATACATTTAGGATGAGAAATAAATTCATTCTTTCAAAGACGCGCTGATTATTAATGGTAATTATTACTGGTTAAGATAGGTGAATATATTTTTTGATCACATGGAATTTATTGTTAGGATAAACGGATAGATGGGCTGATTTAAACTAATAAGTATTTTTTTAAATGTTTTCTGGAAAAATAACTGAAAATAACTTAAATTGTTGCTTTATTTGCAAAAATAAATGTTCAAAAGAGTAATGGAATTTTTAATACACACACTTTAATTTCCAATACCATGCAAAAATAACAGGACGACACAACTTATTTTATTGGCTTAATCCCTTTTCAAGTTCTTGAAACACTCGAATATTTATTTCTAATGAACTCTTGCTGTTTCCTGACAAATATTTTTTTCAATAAATTTTTTAAATTTTAATTTCAAATTTTACTATCAAACCAATCGTTTCAAAAAAAAAATAAAAATTTCATAAAAAATAAACAAAGTAACAAACATAGAGGAAAAAGTCAAAAAATTTTTTATACTACAAAACATTTAGAGCATACAAAAAGGATACAAAACTTTCATATTTTACATTTCAATTTTCAATGGTATTTAATATTACAAAACTCCAAAATAAAGAAAAAATCCTTTTGGAACTCCATTCAAATTACTTTTATTAGTACAGGTGTATATTGAAATTTTTATTATTCTTTACTTTACTCATATTTTTGTTTTATTCAGGTGTTTGACTGTCGTTATGTAACAACAACAAGTGGTATGTTCGAAGCAATTTGTAATCATATTAAATATGCTACAAATAAAGGAAATTTGAGGTGAGTTTTTTTTTAGGTGAAAGAAAATTTGCAATTCATATTTTCATATTAATATAGAAAATAAAACAAAACAGAAATTGAATGAACCTGAAAAATTTTTTTTTTTTAATAAAATACGTAAAAACATAAAATATGATTGCAAAATTATACAAAATTTCATTCAAGGATAATTTAAATATAAATAAATATACAATATAACTAAATACACACACATAAAATGCATGTATTGTGAAAATATTTGAAATACCCCTCAAATGAATTGAAAATAAATTTTTGCTTTTATAGTTGAATAAATTTTTTCCCCATTATTACTATTCTTTAATAAAAAATCGTATATATATATTTAGATCTGCTATAACAATATTTCCACAACGAACTGATGGACGTCATGATTATCGTATATGGAATAGTCAATTAATTTCTTATGCTGGATATCGTCAACCAGATGGTTCAATTATTGGTGATCCAATTAATGTTGAATTTACAGAGGTAAGCAAAAAAAAAATAAAAAATTGTTTTTGGTTGAATTTTTGTATTTTAATAAATTTCTAATTGAAAATATTTTGTAAATGTATTTAAGGTATGCATGACATTAGGATGGAAAGGTAAAAATACTCAATGGGATATTTTACCATTAGTTGTATCAGCTAATGGACATGATCCAGATTATTTTGATTATCCACCTGAATTAATATTAGAAGTACCGTTATCACATCCGGCGTAAGTATTAAGAAATTTTTAAATATTTATTCCAATTAAATGTACTTACCTAAATATTAGAAAGAATGAAATAGATTAACCGCTTTCAATAATATTAAAATATTTTCTTCTTCACGTTTGTTTTTTCCCCAATAGTCTTAAATGGTTTGCTGATTTAAATTTAAGATGGTATGCATTACCAGCTGTATCCGGTATGTTATTTGATTGTGGTGGTATACAATTTTCGGCAACAGCATTTAGTGGATGGTATATGTCAACAGAAATTGGTTGTAGAGATCTCTGTGATACGAATCGTTTAAATATTCTTGAGGTAAGTATATATAGTCGGAAATTGTAATATTAATAATAGTAAATTGGAGAAAAACAGTGTTAATGATTTATACAATTTATAAATTAGATATTATGAAATTATCCACAGCATATCCTGAATTTATTTCTGATTTACTCTGAATTTATTTCGAACTTATTCTAAAGTTACTCCGAATTCATTCCGAACTTATTCCGAAAATACTCCGAATTAAATCTGAATTTACTCCGAATTTATAAAACTTGAAAACATACAAAATATTTACTTTTCTCCTAAAATTAGAATAGTTTACAAGTTTTCTACCGTAATAAGACAAAAAAAATACGTAACACGAATACGAATACTCGTATACGACACACAAGACAAAACAAAAATCGTGCAAAATTTTGAACGTCATCGTAAGCAAATATGTATTTTGAATTTCTATTTTATTTTGATTGACAATTTAATTTTTTTCTATTTATAGACCTACATATAAATTTAATCTTTTAATTGATTTCTCTTTCATCACTGCACAAATTTTAAATTTAAATAAATGTCAACAATTTAATATTTGCGAAAAAAAAAATATGAAGGAAGAAAATTTGTAAATTTAAATTTCTCATTCAATCTTGTAATACATGATGTGTACATAAAATGCCATTGATGAAAAGTAGATTATAATGAATTTGACAAGTTCATGTTACGTCATTGTCTAATCTTTCAATATTTTTTGTTTTTTTCTAGTACATTTTTTATATACTCACCCTTTCCTTCCTGTCTCTTTGAAATTTTTATATTTTCATATGCTTACTATGTAAATTTAAAAATTTTTTTTTACTTCACTCATTTCTTTAATACCATATAAATACTATTTAATATGATTGTACCAGGTTGAATGAATAATGAATGATTGTGGCAGGTCATTGAGTTTAAATGAAGTTTTTTTTTTTTTTTGGTTTAATATGATTTTGTATAGATTTATTTATAGATATGTATGTAAAATGTACATGGATATTAAAATTGTATGTACATGCAGAAGAAAATTAAAATAAAATAATGAATTATTCAAAAAAACAAGACAAGAATAGCAAAAACCAACAAAAAAGGAATATAATTCTCAAAGGATTCAAATTATAAAGGATTTTTTAATAAAAATATTTTAAATTATATAATGATCTCTTAGTTTTGTTCTTTTGTATTGTTATTATTATTATTTTAATTGTTGATTTAATCATGATGAACGTACAATATTTTTTGTGATTTTTCAATATTTTAATACTCATTCTTGCCCATTACCCCTCTTGCCCCTTATTCACAATATTTAATTTGAATATTTCCTGGTTATATTTTTCGGCCCTTTTTTATTGAAAATCATACTGGTATTAAATTTTATTCGTAATTCAAATAATTTCAATTTATTTTATAAGGTTGTTTAGTTAATGAATTTTTTTTATACTCGTATTTTCTCCTCATTTAATTTTGTATAATTATTAAAGAAAAGACAATTAGAACGCAAAAAATTTAATAATAAAAAATGGAATAAAGGCTTTTGGATTCATTTTAAAAAATTTATAAGGGTCAATACAAGTAATTTAAATAACATGGACTGAAATTCATTAATAAAATTTATGAGAAAAATTTTTACAAAATATTATTGTAAATTCAATAAATTTTTAATTATATCTAAAAAAATATTAAAGGATAAAATTTCAATTGGATTAAATTTTTATGAAAAATTAAATTAAGTTTTTAAATTAAAGATTTTTATCCTTATATTTTGATTTTTTAAAAATTAAATCGGAGATACATGGATTAAAATATTAAAAGTGATTAAATTTTAAAAAAAAAATAAGAGGAAGGAAGCATTCAACGAATAATAGTTTGTTACTTTTGAGATTACAATAAAAATTCATAATTATTTTGAACGCATTTTAATTATTATTTAGGCACAATTCCGCGAATTTAATAGGTACTTTAATTAAAGTTTAAGCAAGAATACAATTAAAACAGTTCTTAATTGAAATTTAGTTGTTACACCCCAATTATAACTCTGTCATTTAGATTATTCTTTTAAAACAATAGAAAGTCCTTTTACAATATCCTGTACAACAAAAAGTTCAATCGTAATTTTATAATTTATTCTTTGATTTCAATTTCTTTTTATAATACAGGATGTTGCACTTAAAATGGATTTAGATACAAGAACATCAACAACATTATGGAAAGATAAAGCATTAGTTGAAGTTAATCTTGCCGTTTTATATTCATTTCAAAGTAAAAATATAACAATTGTTGATCATCATACAGCAAGTGAAAGTTTTATGAAACATTTTGAGAATGAATCGAAATTAAGGTGAGAATTACTAAACAAATTTCAAAATTTCTCTTAAAAGCCATTATTAAATTGTTGTGACAGTAAAATCTGAGAGAAAAATTTAGTATGCATAATGTAATAATGGAGATAACATAACAACAATAAAGCTCCCATATTAACATTTGAAGATATTGTTCCGTACATGTACATCAATTACACATGTTCTGCCTGACTCAATATTTTCTATGTCAGTGTAATCCCAATTTCTAGTTAAATTTTTAGAAAAATATTGCAACTATTCAATTAAATACAATTTAATTAACTTAAAATTCTACTCGCTTTCATGATAGTATCCTGGTAGTAATACCACAGCAATAAAATTTAAAAGAAAAATACTACTTTAAACTGCCATACGAGTTCATTAAATATTTAGTAATTTTTAACTTTTTTATTTAAAATACCAAAGTAAATTAATTTTAAAAATTTATATATGAAAACTTTTTGATTTTTAATCTTTACATCTCATTTCTAGTATACTTCGAAACAATAATAATACAGTCTCTATAATATCCTTAGATCCTATTATGTGTTTATTGTTTTATCATTATATCAGTTCTTTTTTTTGTTTATCTTCTAGTTTTTAATATTTTTGTTTTCTTTTAATTTGCAATTTATTAAAACTTTGTCTTATACTATATTATGACCTTTATAGAGAGAAAATATGCACAATTGAATAGTACAAGATGCAGGGAACAGAAAAAAAAATGTGCAACAACTTTGTAACAAAACACGAGAGAGAGAAAAAAACAGAAACCTTATAATTATGCAATATGTTACAAGTTGAATCCTTTTTAAATTATTTTACTATTTTACTAATTCTTTTTTCTGTTTTCTTGTATTTTCTACTTTTTATTTATGTTCAATTAAACTTTTTTATATTACAAGAGAAGAAAAACAGAAATTAAACTAAAACAAAATTTTTTTATTATCCTTCCCTCAAAGTTTAAATTAAAAATTATAGTAAATATTTTAAAACTAATGATAAAATATATAAAACATATGTATATATCACTACTAGTACATAGAATTCAGAATGTATTCAAATTTTTCACAAAATAAATTAATATTATAATATATATGCTATTATACAACACATTATATTTATATATAAAAATTTTGTATAATATTATATATAGAAATGGATGTCCTGCTGATTGGATATGGATTGTACCACCGATGTCTAGTTCAATAACACCAGTTTATCATCAAGAAATGTCATTATATTATTTAAAACCATCATTTGAATATCAAGATCCAGCATGGAAAACACATATATGGAAAAAGGGTGGTAGTATACAAGGAAAAAGTAAAAAACCAAGAAAGAAATTTCATTTTAAACAGATTGCAAGGTAAATTTTTATATTTTTTTTTTTCTAAATTGTAAAAAAATTTGAATTTAATGATATTTTATTAAATATTAAAAATAATAACAAATTTAATTCATGATTGCACGTTATTGAGCGAAGACAAACGTAAATGACATTAGAGGTAACAATAAGAATGAGCAATACTTTATAACAGTTATGTAAATTACGATATTTACATGTTCTCTCATTTAAAAGACCGAACTACAATGAGAATTTTAATAATAAATTTAGAATTTACTCTGTAATTTTAAACAGCAACATTATTTACTAAATTATTGCTCATTTTGCTGCTTTATACAATCTCTAATCGTGTTTGTTAACACTCTAATTACTATTTATGCCACTCACATCACAATTTCTTCTCAAAAGACATTGGAACATAATAAGTTTATGAGAAAGAGTATATATATGAAATATGAATTGAGCTACTTCTCAAATATTTTAATTTAATTTTTTTCCGAGCAAAGATAATTACTGGTACAGATTAATAAAACAAAAAAACTCAATAAGGTTTTCAAAATAATTTATTTTTGAGTATTTAATGTGAGCCTAATTATAAAAATTTCCAATTCAAACTACGAGAGAAATTTTAGAGTAAATTATGATCTCTTTAAATTTTATTTATTAAACTGTTCTCTTTGAATTTCTTTTGAATTCTCTTTGAATTTAAAAGAAATATAAAAATTTCAGAACAAAATTTTTCGTTATCTTCTTAAATGAAATTTCAACTTTAAATATTTCTATTTTTAATATACTCTAGTTTAGTATGTGGTCAGAGTAAAATTTTATAGTATAATTTTACCACAATATTTATAGAAATACAAAATCAAAGCAATTTTCCCCCAAATTTTATTTATAATTTACAAACAATATTATTATTCATTCATCAAAGACATTTTTCAACTATTATAATTATTGTACATTTATATTCTCTTTCAATTTATCTAAAAATTTAAAATAGAAAAAAAATTTACCAAAAAATTTGTTCAACCAATTTGTTCACCCCAAACAAATAAAATGAGAACAATAATTATTATCATTGCATATTTTATAATAAATTTTTGCATTTCCACCAAAATTTTATAATACACCACAATATTGTGGTTTGAATTCATTTGAGAATGTTATCTGTTATGTACATTTGTATGTACACATATGCACTATAAACTTTCAAATATTTATTTGTATTATGCGGAAACTTGCAGAGGAAAACACTATAAACAAACTTTTTCTTCCCTAAAGGATAATAAAAATATTTTTGTTTAAAAGTTTTAAAAATAAATCGCTTTTATATAGAAGAGATTTTCACCACTATTAAAAAGTAATGAGAAAATATTTTGTCATACAAAAATTATTTTTGTATTATATTGAAATGTAATTTTAAATAAGAGAAAATTCAACATTGTCCTTTCTAAAATGAAAACTATTTAATAATATCAATTTGTAATTGAAAATTCAGCAACAATTAAATGTAATTGAAATTGCAAATTAAGATATATTAAGCTTTGGAAATTTTGAATGTTTAGCGTTTTGAAAATATAAAGGACTGTGGAAATGAAGAGCAATAATTTATTGTAGCAATAATGTAAGCGTTCTAAAGCACATTTTAATTTTTTTTTAAAATAGCAAAATTAAATATTTTAAATAAATTATTTGGGAAATAATTATAGTACAAGGTATTTACGTGCTTTAGAGAATATTGAAGGTTTACTGAGGCTTGTTACGAGTATTTGGCCTAAATTTTGTGAATGAAATTGTGCCCTAGCATCTTTCCTCATACGAATTTTTGCTATTATGCGCTTCAGAGGAAAAATTTAATTTAAAATTTCGTGAATCTTTTACAAATCTCTTTCAAGAAAACTTCTTTAATATATTATTATAACAAAATTACTAAAAAATTTTTATTTCAAAAGATTTTCAACTATTAATAAAAATATTTAAATAAAAATGTATTTTGGAGAACACACAATTAATGTCATTAAGTTGGATGTCCTCTAATTTTTATTTGTACGTTTACAAAATATACTTAAAGGATTATAAAAATTAATTTTTCTAAGAATCTTTGTAAACACATGCATACACCAGAGAACACAGAATAAAATACTTTTAAATTTTTTATTACTTAAGGTATGTTTATTTTTCTATTTTGCAAAAGTTCAGGTGTTCAAATAACTATAACAAACTGTTATGCAGGACTCTGTGTAAAATAGATATTTTTTTCATATTAATTTTTTCAGTTCAGTTTTGTTATATAAACACATAAGATATTGAGCTAGAATCCTTTTTTTTTATACAAATAATACTTCTTTTAATTAAATGATATTTTGAAAATGTATTTAAAAAAAGGATAATTATAAAATCTCTTGTAATTATGTTGTAGCATTAAAGAAACAAGAAACAAGATTAAAGGGATTAATTATTTTCTTTGGTGTTTGATATTATACTCCTTTATCCAAATAATATTTCTATGGGTTACCATATGAAATCCAAGTTCTACAGCTATAATATTATGGAATGAATTTTTATCTTGTTTAGTTAATAGTAAGATAAAAGAAGAATGTTAATTTCAAAGGGATATCTGTATAATATGTTTAATATGGTAAAAATCCAATTTAAATGGTTTGTACTCGTATATTCAACAAATAATTTTTTTCTTTTTGCATTACTACTGCGTTCTGATAATATTCTTTATGTGTATTTGTTATATTATAAGGGTTAGTATACAGAGTGTTATTTATAAATATCAAATTTAAAAATTACCATTAGATTGGATCATTAGTCGCTGAAAAATTTGCAAATGCTTCGAAACATTAGCGATTCTCTTTCAAAATCAAAGAGTATACACAAGGAATTGACGGTATTTTTCACCTGTTACGGTAAACTTTGAAAATTTGTTTAAGATCACTGATTGAAAATATAATAATTTTCTTAAGAGCATTTAAAATTTTAGATCTAACATTAAAGGACCTTCAAAGTTACAAGTGTATAGCTGAAACGTATTTTTTTTGCTTTTTTTTTTAATAATTCTTTCATTCTGCTTTTTTTACCGAAATTCCTGGTACAATTCAATAATACATGAACAAGACCAGTCTAAAGAGCGAACTACCTCAATTTATTGGAATAAGGCCAAATTTTCATTAAAAATTGTTTGAAAGCAATAAACACCAACAATTTTTAAAAACTCAAATTCAGTTATATAAAATTTTTGTATGAAAAAATCCAAAAAATTTTAAAAATTCTCGATTACAATTTTTTGGACTATGTAGAAGTAAAGAGCATTGTTTCTAGTTCCACCAACTCTATTGTCTTCGTTTTATCCTTTAAAACTATAAGAATTTCTGATTATCTTCATTTTCACCTTATATATAGTGACACACCCTATACATGAGGTTCATTTATAAAATTATTTGCATATATTAAATACCATGTATAAACATTAAAAATGTCTCGAAATTTCTTATTTTTTTTTATATCAAAATACTTTTTTCACTTTTTTTTTCTATTTCAATCAGATTATATAATTTGTGTTTTTCTCTATTTATAGGGCAGTAAAATTTACATCGAAATTATTTGGTAGAGCATTATCTCGTCGTATAAAAGCAACTGTATTATATGCAACAGAAACTGGTAGATCAGAACAATATGCAAAACAACTTGGTGAACTTTTAGGTCATGCATTTAATGCACAGGTAAGAAAATATCTACTAATAATATTATAGTTGATTATTCGATTAAAAATTGTGGTAAGAAAATGTATATATATAGATACCGTAGTTTTATATCGTAAATAATGAAGGATGCTATAATTTTAATAAAAGTTTTTTTCATTTAAAAATTTTAAAAGAAAATTATAATTTATTCAAATTATAATTTGGAATTTTTTTGGTGAATTTGAAAAATATTTTTAGTTTACTGCACTGGTTATTTACTGGTAAACCTTATTATACAAATATATTTGTTATAGAGTTCATGTTATACTTGTATAACTCAATATAATTAAAGTATATTAATTAAATAACGTATTCATATTTAAAATAAATTTTTAAAGTTGAAAAATTATAAATTAAATAGCGTGGTTCATTATGAGTGAATATCCTTTTGCTAACTACAAAATCTGAATATTTTTCAAGATTTTACAAATTATAATTAATAAATTTTTAAAGAAAATAATATTATTACCAAGATTTCTTTGATTAAACTCCGAGCATTTTCTTAAACAATTAATTTTACAAGTAGCCTCTTTCTTTATTTTTCAATCTTGATGATCTTGAACTCATTGAGTATATGCTATTTCACTTAATTTCGAGAAACAAAATATTCTATACACCTAACATAAATAAAATTCTATAGAATTAATTTTTTTAGGCAATAGTATAGGGCAAAAATTGTGTGGTTCATCTTTAAGACTCTTGCATAAGCAAAACATAGATTTTTTGTTCTACAAAATTCTGATTCCCACATTAATTCAGTTGTTTTAATTCATTATACCTACTCTTTCAAAGTTCATTAAATATTACAAACAGAATAGCGAATGAAAATAATATTTTCTTTTTATTGAAAAGGAAATTGCGAACAGAGATTGTCATTTAGTTCCGAAAATTTTTTGAATAACAAAAAAAATTATTTGCTCTAAAACTAGGGCACTATCAATATTTTTTAATAAAAAGATTTTGTAAAAATTTTCAAAATTATCATTCCAACCCACAAATTTCCATTTTCTAAAAAGCTAGAACTTAAATCCTATACATAAAATCAAAATATTATTCTTAACTTTTGATTCCACGGAATCAAAAATTTTCTAAGGCAAATTGTGTTCTATATAGAGCTTATCTGGAATTTTTAATAAACTATACAGAAATTTTATAGAAATTTAGTAAATAAACATGAATTTTTCTCGATTTTTTACGACTTAATTTTTCAGATCGTAATATTTGAAATTTTCGATTTATTTTGAAAAAAATCTATGATTCTTCGAAATAATCAAAATATTGAGGCTCGCACTACTTCTTTCAGAATACACGTTATTCATTCTGATTTAAATAATTTTAGACTTAAAATTCAATTCCTATTAAATGCAAGAACAAGATTAGTTTTCGGATTCTTTTCACTCGGAAAATAATGATACAATATTATAAAGATATTGGTATTCAATGAAAAATTTTTAAACCTTTCATATTATTCGGCTTTGATTAAGTTCCATATATTAATATTAATCTAAGCTCCTTGGCTTCAAAACTTTTAGCATCTACTATATGATACTCGTTCTGAGATACTTAGCCGTTTCATAATACCAAAATATTAAATAAATACCAGTGTCTTTGCCAATGAATTTTAATTATTTTCTATAGAAATAAAAATAATTTTTAAATATTTTCAAATCATTTACTATTCTAGCTTAATTTTAAAAATATTTTATCTTAAATGTCATATAGTTTCTTCGTAAATAAAAGAAATTTCACGAAATTTTCAAATTAATTTTTTGTTTGATTTTGCAGAAATTCTATCTCATTTATTAGCACCATAATAAACTTGTTACTTTTTATGGATTCTAAAAACTTGTTAAATTCTTTAAAATTCACTTACAATTTTCAATACAGTTTTGCTTTACAGCGTTATGTGTACTTGATGAAATTCTCATTAATTGTTATTTGCTTTGAAAACGGATGTATGTACTTGAAAAATTTTCAATATCCGGTAAAATAAACTGTACATACAGAAATAGTTTCATCTTAAGAAAGTGAAGTAAATGAATGAACACCATTAACTTTTATTCACATTCACACTACATTTAAATTGAAAACTAAAGATTACAACAGCTGGAGACTGTTTTTACTATAATTTTACACCTCTAATTTCCTGATATTCACAACGATATTTTTTTTTGTTTTTTGGTTTCTGTTATTCTTCTTTAAAAAATTAAAGAAAAAGCCAAATAATAATTTTTAAATGAGATTTTTCGCTTTAATTCTTAAATATGAAGTCAAAAATACAAAGGCAAATTTCATAGTTAACCAAATATAAGACCTTGGAAAAAAACAGAAAATTTTCTCCAACCGGATATGAGTGAAAATTTAGTAAATATTACAAAATACAGTGAGTGATTCATCCTAAATGTATGCAGGAATTTTTGTGAATTTTCGAATGTTTATTCATTTGTTCTTTCAGTTTAACAATTCAATTGGTAATGTCGAATCGCTCTTTAGTTATGTACTTGTAGTAATAAAGAGACACTTTGGAAGAGATTATTAGAAAAATATTTAAAAATTTGTTAATATTCTCACAATGGGGTACTTTCCATAGAGATAATCGAGGGCAGAATTCCATTTGTAATACAATGTTTGAATAAATTAAAAATGTATCACTAATTTTCTATTTGGAGAAAATTCTATTTTGGGGCTTAAGAACGTTTCGGGAATTTTAAAATAATATTGCTTGTATTTATGATTAGGGGTCTTAATATCTGGCTAAATTAGAGCAATATCAATGGCTAAAGTAGACTAATAATGAAATGAATAAAACTTTTAAACAGAAACTTTAGAGCTTCCAACAACTAGGCCAATATAATTACATAAATGAACCAAGTCTCATTCGATACGGAATTCCTACACCATACCCTGTACTGAAGAAGCATTTTTTACTTAATATTTATTAAAATTATTTTATAAAACAAAATCCTAGAGAGTGAAATCTAAAATGAAAAAATCCTACCGAGTAAAAATATGAAAATCGTTAATGTTTTTGCATACTTTCTTCATCTTTAGGATTTTTCACTAAAATAATTACCTAATAAAAAAAGGATTTCAGAATTTTTCTTTTTAAATTTTAATTTTTTGCGTAGCGTATTTTTCGTATTTCAAAATGTTTTTTTTTTTTTTCGGAATGTTGATTAAAATTTTCTTTGAACGTTATGTAAATTAAATGAAAATCCTAGAAAATATGACATTGAAAATTCAAATAAAAAGTGTAATTTTAAGTTAATGTTTGTATTATTATTGTTATTGTGCTGTCCATGTTTTAAATAAATATTATTTTTTAAAATTGCATTCATAAATTTTTAGTTTCTTTGAATCAAAGATTTTTTGAGAAATATGCAAAATGTAGTATGGCAATTTAAATAGAAAATATTTCTCTAAAATTTTAATGGATCTAAAAAAGGAATTTTTATATAACGAAACATTGTTAATAAATTAATTTTAGCAGTTTGGGGATGACTGCCATCTTAAAAATATTTTTTTCCTTCTTAATTAGGATTAATATGGAAAATTATTGATTAAGTTATAAATAATTTTATTATAAAACTCAGACAAAAAACGAAGCTTCTACACCACCCTAAATAGAAAATTAAAATGTATACACATAATGTAAATGCGTCCTGGATATTTTTTTCCTATAAAAGAAAATTTTTGCCTGATTTATAAGTTACCACTTGTATACAATATTTTCTCCAAAAATTATTTTCTATTTCATTCTCCTCCTTCCTAAGACATCACACCTCAAAATTGGAAAAATAATTTCAATTTTGAACTTCTTATCCCTTCGAAGCTGTAAGGTTTTCCTACTTTTTATAGTATCAAAAAAATAACTGCAAATTCCATCACCTCGAAAAATACCAAATTTAAAAATTTCTCTCCAATATTATCAATTGTAAATGCGCTTGAACTGAATTGCTATCTTTTGATTTTTGTTCTTATGCTCAAATACATGCTCTAATTATGAAATGTGTTGATTCATTACAGAGGTTTCTAAACTTTTTTCTCTCGTACACCCCTTGTTTTTCAATTTTTGATGGACAATAGCAAGGTACACCTATGATATGAGAAAGTTAAATAAAAAACTAATTTATTTAAAAAATATAATTTTAATTTTTCGTAGAGTGCTAGCAGGCCTTCATGGACCCATGAGGGTCTACATGGACCACTTTGGGAAACACTGGTTTATTTTTAATTAGTATTAGAGGAGTGTTCTACTTTGTAAATCATTAATTTGATCCAAATTTATTAACTTTTTTATAAAAATTATTTCACGCAAATTCCGAATATCAATTAACTAATTATTAAAAAATTTTCAATAATTTTTAAATTCATTCAATAAAATATAATTTTCTATTTATTATTAGTAACATTTTCATTTAATTAATATTACTTTAATCAACTAAAATTTTTAATCGTAAATGAGAAATTAATAAGATCTCCTCATATAAAATCAACTATATTGTTATACAAACCTGTAAGGTAACATTATTATTAAAATTATAAATTAAACTGCAAATTTCTAAAATCATTTACACACAACATGGTACACATTATTATGTACGTCTTTACATGTAATTTAAAATTATTCAGAGAAAAAAATTTGTGATTGAAATCAAATATTTTATTTACCAATATAACAGTAATAATAACAATTTGTTATACTTGTGTATATAACAAATATAACAATTGTATATGTATTATGTAGGTATCTAAATAATTTTGTATGTTATTTTTTCTGATTACAATAGAAAATACACAAATATTTGCAGGTATGTGGAACTCAATTCTAAATATTTAATTTTTATTACATATCTACATTGTATTACTTTACATAATATTTATTGTTATTGATAAATTTTTGAGTATGTAGATGAAAACAAATAATTTTATGGTACAAAATGAAAATGATGTAACTCGAAATAAGAGTTTATTAGTGA